CCTCCACTGGTACTCCAGACATCACTTCTATTACTTCATCTCTTGAAGGTCCTTAGTAAATCAAGGAATTCCCCAAGATCATCTGACAAAAGCTGCTTGGGAGCAACATGCCAAATATCTGGGTGGTTTCCTGATTCTAGAGGTCAACAGGCACTTAGTGAGTAAACTCTACAGATTGCTAGAAAAATTCTCAAACACCATCTGGAATGCACCCAGATTTATAAGACATCTAAGGAAGCACTATTTCAGTACATAATTTTAACATGAATTGTAATCTTCCACAAGATCCTTTGGATAAAGGGAAAGCTATAAATACTTTTTAAGTAAGTAAATCCACTAATAGCAGTTGCTCATAACCACCCATAAGACATAAGAGAAAGATATAACTTGAACAGCAAACACAACTAAAAAGGAAAAAAGAAGTGGTTACTGACAAGAGGAATTAATTTACAATTTATTTTTGGAAAAAGTTAAGATTTTCTTGAATTGAACTGACTTTATGGACATGCCAATGTAGTTTTCTTGGCAACAATATGAAAGTGATTTGCCATTACCTTCTTCTGGGTTGCTTATCAACTCCCTAGTCTAACCTCCCCTGTGGGATTTCTTGTTGGTCTCTCATCTAAGGTCCAAGTCTGCTTAGTCTTTGGAGGCCAGCCATTGTTGGTTAGGCATTGTCACCAAAATATTTTACACTGAAAAGATCAGTTATGAGAAGGCTAGACTAAGTCACCTATACTCTTACAGCACTGGTATTAACCATTCCTAGCAGATCCAGACAGATTTCAAAACTAAAATATTTAAAATATCAAAGTATCAGGCTATGGTAATAATACGTTTAAAAATTCCTTGTATACTATGCCAGCATGTTCCTTCAGTTCATGGGAACTATGATAAAGATGGATGTTTTCAAGAAAAAATTATGATAGCACAGACCTTGAAAACATCTCTTAAACAAAGCTTTTTGCACCTGGAAGGAGACAAGGAAAATATTAGTGTAAACTTTCCTCTTTTTCTAATAAACCGATCAACAAATAATCTGCTTTATTCTTTTAGCAAAATGCCATTTTAATCCTTCTTGTGGAAGTACTGGCAAGCATTTTTTTAAGAGTCAACAAGCCTTACAAAAGGTTAGTTTTATCCCTTTACGTTCCTTTACGATAAAAAGGACTAGGGATTAAAATTCATTTAATGTAAGAGAAGGTAGGGAGGAGTGTTTTAATGTATTTATTCTTAAAGTCAGTCAGTAGGCCATTAGTTGAACATAATGTATTTCAGTTTAATAGGGGCACTAACTCATTTTCTCCATGTAAAAAAGTAATGTCATAAATGCTTATTAAAAAAAAAAAAGAGGTGGAACACTGGGATCATGTAATTATAAAAAATGATTTGGAGCTTAGAAAATGCCCCTCACCCTTTCTCTCTAATATGGGAGCAGTATTTATTTCTGAAATGAAAGCAAAGCATATAAGTAACTAATTTAGATTTTCTATAGCGTAAACTGTAGGCTGGATTCCGTATCACTGCCATTCAGTTGGACTTGCTGGGCTATTCCATACACAAACAAAACAAACACAGTTGGGGCATCCATGAGAGATTATTGTTATTATCTCATAATAGGTAATCTAGTGTTACATCAATAGCTCCGTGAAGTTTTCTTTATAAGGCAAATTATTATTTTCCCCATCTGAATAGCTGCTTGTAAACTAATAGATAAAAGTAAAAAAATCTATTTTGTAAGCAAGAAGATTAATTCCCTTTCTCCTCTGCGAAGGCATACGCTTTAAACTTCTAAACAGACAGATACATTTTCTCTTATATACAAAATAAACCTTATATATGGAAGTCAGTTATAGCAATATCTAGTTATTAATCTACATGAGCCTATTTTTATAACAAAACTACTTTGAAACCTAAAATCTGTTAAAAATCCAAAGTTCATTTTAATCTCTCAGCTGTTTTACACAGGCAGACCTCCAAAAGTAAGAAGTCTACTAATTATAAGAATATAAGATTAAAAACCAACAGAAACATATAAACAAAAAAATGATAAGTAAATACAATATTATGTTTCTTTCATTTAAACATGTATGTGATGCTTTGACAATGTCAAAAGAAATGGGTGTTCTCCCTGCAGTAGTGTAGTTTTCCTTTCTGTATCAAGGGATTAATCTTTTTTTCTTCTTTTTTGTAAAAAACTTGCTATTCTAATTACAGACATGTTAATCACATATGTGTTTAGTAACTTTGTAAACTATAAATTAGATATCAGGTTATTGAACATCACCTATTTAGTTTTGATTAAATTTGGAAAGAACTATTCAGGACATGAATATTTTAATTTATCTGCATTATTATGGCGTGGAATTAAAGTTGGAACAAGGCTTCAGATATAACCTCCCTGCAAAATATAAGCTAGAACATGAGCTTTGTTATTAAAGGATACTTGATTTTAATCATACTACTCCATAGAGAAGTATGGGTCTCTATGTCAATGTATGGATCAAATAACATTGGTGGATCTTAACTGTCAGATAAATACAACTAAAGCTAAGATGATGCCATACTACCTCAACAAAGTGATTGTTAAATCAAGGGCAGAAAAATATCTGGTCCTCCACATATTTTGAACTATAATTCCAAGTATCCTTCATCATTAGCCATGGTGAATAGGATTGATAAGAGTGGTAGTTAGTAACAGCTGGAGTGCCACAGGTTCCTTGGGCCTTATAGTACAAAAAGATTCAAGTTGCAATCCAGATACACATTTAACAGCAATGATCTTGTATATCCTTTTGAAGCAAATTCAAATATTTCACTTACTTTTGAATTTTTGTATGCAGTAAGTGCAAATGTATTTGCCCTTTATAAATTCAAATTATTTTTTTCTGATAAAATGGAATGGCCTTAGATATATATTCTATGTGAACAAAAATAAGCAAAATATTCATTAGCATGCCTCCATTGAGGATGAACTCAACTTTGAAAACCAAAGGAAAATGCTTTGAAAGTATTCATACTTCTTCTGAAGCATTCCAAAATAAAGCAGCCCATAAACCAAAGTGTATAGCACTGAGGAAGCCTGGATGTGAATCTTCAGATCAGTCCCAGCTTACAAACAAATTCTGCTCTAAAGACAAACCCTGAAGCTTAGATAAATGCCCAATACACATAGTTCAGGTCCTCTCTGAACTCCACCCCCCAATGCAAATCTGTGGAGACCACGTTGTCTCCATTAGTTGTGCATGGGAAGATAAAAGTCTACAGTCGTGGCCTAAAATAATGCCACTGAATCATGAGGGTGAACATGAGAGAATGGGATCATGTATGCATTCAGTAAAATGTGTGTAAAACAGTATGTAAATATCTTGTTTGTCTGCTACTGACCATTCTTAACTCAATGAAATCTATGGTATGAACACTCACATATTTATTTAGAAATTTGATGATCTGTTTTTTATAAAAATGATCCCCAAAGTATTGACTGAATTAAAAAGTAACACTATTGAGCTACTATATTAAAAGTAAAAACACTGACTTCCTTTTATGTACAAATGCTCGAAACAAATATCTGATTACTGCTGGTCTTTCTAAAGCGAAACAGCCTTCTTGACAGAATTTGGAACTGCCAAGCGATAGACATGCAGAAAGTACTTCATGTTTTCCCTGCTCAATGCTCCTTAGGCCAGGACTCTCTTACTGAAAGGGCTCTTCTCTAGCAAAAGCAGTTGTCTGGGTTTTTTTTCCCTTGTACCTTACTTTGTATACCTTTTGCAATATTGTTAGATTGCAATGAAATGGGATGTCCTCGAGGGAGGGAGAACCTCACAATAATACAGAATCTTAGAAATGGAGGAAAAAAAGTAGTTCCACTAACATTTTGGTCCTGGGGATGAAAAATATAAAGAAGCAATCAATCATTTTGTGTAGCACAAAATGTTTGCAGGAGGAAGCAGCAATAGCAGCAGCAGTCCACTTGCTATGCCTTCTAAGCATCCCGGACATTTCCCTGTGTTCATCCCATTGAAAGTTCTTAATTTCTAATTTGCCTTGCTGTCCTTGATAGGATGGATAATCTTGTCCCACATCTGTAATGTTAATATAAGATCCAACCCATAGATAAATCAGCTTCTATATATAAAATCTGGGATGGGACACCATCTTGGTCTTCGTATGACATTGCAAAATGTCTTGGGCCAGTCCTACTCAACTTCTTCTGTTTTCTGAGTCAGAGTGTGGTGCCTGCTATTCTTCCCTTGACAACCACCAGACTCACCTGGTTTAACTTTTTTAGATTCATTTAATTAAATAAAAACCATATATGGGAAGTGAGGAAAGTGGTAGCCTCTGAGTCACACAGAAGACCCCAGGAGCATTCTTATTAAATAAAAATGGTATCTGCAGCCTAAAGTACCACCTGCCCAAATGAAAGGCAAAAGATGAGGTGAGGTGAGGTTTGGGGGTGGTATCACAGTGCCCCTTAAGTACCTGAAAAATTGTCCCCATACTGAAAGGCCTGAACAGAGAGAATTCAGTTTTTGTTTCCCAAATGAGCTCTTCCTACGTACAATAATCCCATTTATACAAGGAGGTATTAAATATCCCAGTTTCTATTAGAGAGGTTAGAGGAGATAATAGAGAGCAATCTTACCAGATTGGCTAAGGACAAATGTATACTTCATGGCAGAGCCATTTTGTGGAAGTGCCCATGATGAGTTCTTAACATTTTAAATGTGCCCACTGGCCCCCAACATTGGTTTCTCCTGTTATATACTTTTTGTTTTACAGATTTATGGAACTGGTTTTGGTCAGCTCTACCCTATTAATATGTAGAAGCAGTGCCCTATGATCACACATGTATGTGCCATATAAAACCAACAGAAAGGAGAATCATTCTGAAAAGCCATCCTTTGTAATGGATTGTGTAAAATGACTCCAGTAGGCAATAAGCAACTTTCTACATGAGAGGAAGTGGAGTGGGAGAAAATTCAGATGCTTACCCTGAATCTGACTCTGAGGCTGAGGATTAAAAGCAGTTGTGTGGTTCAAGGAAGCTCTTGGGTTAGGTGCAGGGGCTGGATGATGTGGGCTAACCCTTATGGCTGTGCGACGCAACTGTTCCAGTTCACTCAGGCGCTCTGAAAAGGACAAACTTCCAGGTTTTGTCTGCTCATCTAGTTTCTGACGGTGTCCTATTGCGGAAACAATGGAGGTGGGGAGAGAAAATGAGAAGTTGTCTGACTGATATACAATACCCAAGACTGCATATAATTACCCATTATTGGTCTAGGAAATCAATGCTCTATTCCATATTAGTTAGGCAGGATAGCAAGCAGTCTAACTAAAATCCTACTTATTTCAATGGAAATTAAAACTAACTTCAGCTGGATTGTACCTTCACCTCAAAGAGAAATTATGTTTATGCATACGTAACTGTACTAGTTCATATGCTACATTATAATAGGGTCTGACAAGGAATACAGCTGCCTATCATATTTATCAAGTAATAAAAGACTGTGGTTAAAGAGGAACAAGTAATAAATCTTCAACTGAAATATGACACTTTTATCTCATTCTCTCCATTAATTTCTTTAGTCTTTGCTTAGACGAAAGCAAAGTAGGAAATACAGTAATACACTTCATGGGATCCTTGCCTGTCATTGTTTTTTACTCCACCCCACTCTGTTTTACATTTATTTATCACAGCTTATCAGTCTTCCTCAGGGTAGCTGGGAGAGACTACTGTACTTCCAGGAGATAAGGCACATACAGGCTTTTTTTTTTTGAAACTCAAGAAAACATCATGGAGCTTGCTGATTCTTACATGCAACAAAACCATTGCATCTTATTCTTTTGCCCGTTAGAGTTTTAACTAAAATCTGAAAACATAAGGCTGCAAGCAATCATCTGCAAAAGCGAAGCATATCCTGTCACTCTGCTGTAGTGCTACCAGATCTGGGTTGCAAAAATCTGGACTTTCGTTAGAATTACAGAAAATTTAAACCCCATAGGGCAGTGTTGTCCAAAACCCGCCCCCCTTAAATAAGGTGGGCTCTACATCCACCAATTTCCCACGACACAAGGCTGGGTGGTGGGGTTTGTTGGGGT